GGTCCTCTGTCTGGGGTTCCCCTTCCTTCTACCCGGTCTGTCGTGTCTTCTGTGTCTCCTTCCTCGTCCCCCTCCGATCCTCCTTCCCATCCTCTTCCTCCATCTATCGGCTCTCCCCGCCGCCTGTCGGTGCGGGCGGATGTCCATCGCTCTCCTAACGGCCGTCGTGTGTGCTCTCGTTCGGCTTCTCCTGTTGAGACACTGGAATCCGTTGCCCGGTACGTAGTTGCTGGGACACCGGTCTCTTTAAGTCAGAAGCGTAAGCCTGGCTCCTCTCCTTCCTCTTCCCCGGCGGGTAAGAAGGCTTCGCTTTCTTCCTCAGCTCCTCCTTCTGGCTCTGTTGCTCCTTCCACTCCCGTTTCAGTGCTTGCGCCCCCTGTTCCTGCTATGGAGGTTTCTTTGGCCCCTGCTTCCCTTTCGGTTGCTGCTCTTGCTGGGGTGCTCTCCTCTCTTTCTACTCCCCCTCTTCCTGCTGCTGTCCTTGACTGCTCCTCTCCGTTGTCTCCTCCTCCTCCTCCTCCTCCGGACCCTGCCCGCCCACCTCTGATCTGTTCTCCCGTTTCCTTCCCTCCGTCTTTGCTCAGTTTACCCATGCCCCCTAACCCTGACTTTGCTGACCCTGATCCCGACCCTGATATTCTTTAACGTGCTCTGTTGGTCTTTCGCCTTTGTTTCTTCCTTGTTCTCTGTTTTTGTCCTTTCTCTTCTCGTCGTTGTCCATTCTTCAATGGAACGTTCGAGGTTATTACGCCAATTTCCTCGAACTCCAACTTCTGGTTTCGCGGTTTTCGCCCCTTTGTGTCTGTCTCCAGGAGCCGATGCTTGGTGCTCGTCCTGGTCGTTTTCGTGGCTATTCCTTTCTCTCCCCCCCCCCAGCCATTGCTGGGGCTTCTAATTCTTCTGCTCTCTTGATTCGGGCTGATGTTCCCTTTGTTCCTTTACTTTTTCCTTCGCCTCTCCATTGTTCTGCTGCTCGTATCTTTGTGGGGAAATGGTACACAGTTTGTTCCATTTATCTCCCCCCGAGTGTCCCGCTCTCTCTTCCTGATTTGAAACACCTCCTAGACTCCTTGCCGGAGCCTGTGCTCCTGCTGGGTGACTTCAATTGTCGTCATTCTCTTTGGGGTGACGTTCTGACGAATACCCGGGGTCGCCTCCTTGAGCCGTTTCTCCTCTCTTCTTCCCTGTCTCTTCTGAATTCTGGTGAGCCCACTCATTTGGACTCTCGAACTCGCACCCTTTCTTGTCTTGATCTTTCTCTCTGCTCTTCTTCTCTTTACTTAGATTTCACATGGCAGGTTCTTGATGACCTCCATGGAAGTGATCATTTCCCCATCCTTGTTTCCTTTTTCTCTTTTCGCCCTTCCCTCTCTTTCCCTAGATGGCAGTTTGCTAAGGCGGACTGGACCCTGTTTTCCCTCAGTGCTACTCTATCTGACCTCTCCCTTCTGCCCCTCTCTCGCGCTCTCCTCCTTTTTCATGACACTGTCTTCGACGCTGCCCTCCGCTCTATTCCTCGCTCTTCCTCTCGGGGTCCACGGAAGTGCGTTCCCTGGTGGAATGCGGACTGTGCTCGGGCTGTCCGCTGTAAGCGTGCAGCCTGGAAGAAGCACCGCCGTAGGCAGACGACCGATTCTTTTCTTTTCTTTCGGAAAGCGAGTGCGGTGGCCCGTAGGGCCATCCGTACGGCTAAACGTGAATGTTGGGCTTCTTATGTCTCGACAATTACGTCCGAAACCCCTCTGGCCCAGATCTGGAAGCGTATCCGCAAGATAGCGGGTAAGTTCGTTCCCGATGTTTCACCGGTCCTTCACCTCCATGATACTCTTGTGGCGGACCCGTTGCAGGTCGCTTCCGAACTGGGTTCCCACTTTTCTTCTGTTAGCTCTGGTCTTCATCTTCCCCAATCTTTCCTTCTTCGTAAACCTGTCCTTGAGTCTCGTCCTTTAGATTTCTGCACTCATCTTCAGCTTCCCTATAATGATCCCTTCTCTCTCTCTGAACTTCGTTCTGCCCTGGCCCTCTGCGGTTCTACGGCGGCGGGCTCCGATGGTATTCATTATGAGATGCTTCGCCATCTCCCTCCGAGCACGTCTCAGTATTTACTGAGTCTGTATAATCGGATCTGGGAGTCGTCGTCAGTCCCTGAGGACTGGCTCGATGCCGTTGTCCTCCCTGTTCGCAAACCAGGGTCTCTGGGTACTTCCCCTAAGGACTTTCGCCCTATTGCTCTCACAAGTTGTGTCTGCAAACTCTTTGAACGTATGGTTAACGTTCGTCTGATGTGGTTCCTGGAACACCATCACCTCCTCTCCCCTTCTCAATTTGGTTTCCGCAAGTGCCGCAGCACGACAGATGTCCTGGTGAACTTGGAGGTCTATATACGTACTGCTTTTGCTGCGAAGACCTCCGTTGTTGCCGTCCTTTTTGACCTAGAAAAGGCTTACGACACCACTTGGCGTTATCATATCCTATCTCAACTTCATTCTTTTGGCCTTCGTGGTCATCTCCCTCTCTTTCTCCGCAGCTTCCTCTCTCGTCGTTCCTTTCGGGTGCGCCTTGGTACCGCTCTCTCTCCCCCTTTTCAGCAATACGAAGGTGTGCCCCAGGGTAGTGTTCTGAGCACTACTCTTTTTCTGGTTGCCCTCAATGGTCTTCTTTCCTCTCTTCCTTCTGGTGTCTTCTCCGCTCTCTATGTCGATGATCTTACCCTTTGTTGTCAGGGTGATGATTCGCCTCTCCTTCAACGCCGGCTTCAACTTGCGATTGATGCCGTGTCGTCTTGGGCCACAGGTCATGGCTTCAAGTTCTCTACTTCTAAGACTTGTGCCATGACTTTTACGCGGAAACGGGTTGTTCTTCGTCCCTCTTTGTCACTTTATGGTCATCCCCTTGAATACAAAGATTCCGCGAAGCTTTTGGGGTTATTCCTTGACACTCGTTTGTCTTGGTCTCCCCATATCTCTTACCTCCGTGTTGAGTGCTCTAAGTCCCTTACCCTCCTTCGGGTCTTGTCCCATACTTCTTGGGGGGCAGATAGGCGCACTCTCCTTGCTTTACATTCCTCTCTCGTCCTGTCTAAGCTCGATTATGGTTGCCCTGCTTACTCGTCTGCTTCTCCTTCTACTCTTCGCCGTCTTGATGCTTTGCACCATACTGGGTTGCGCCTCAGTTCTGGTGCCTTTCGTTCGACTCCCGTCCTTAGCTTGTATGTTGACACTGGCTTCCTGTCTCTCCAGGACCGCCGTGATCGCTACTGTCTTCGGTATCTTGCGCGGTCCTTGCAACATCCTTCCTCTCGTCTCTGTCGTGCTTTAACTTTTACCCCTCCTGCGGTTCCTGTTCCTCTTCACCACCTCCCTCTTTCTGTCCGGTTATCTCGCCTGCAGGATTCTCTTTCCGTTCGTATTTCTGATGTTTCTCCTCGTGTTGTTCCTTCTTTGCCCCCGTGGAGGGTCCCTCTTCCGCGGTTTTGTACATCCTTGACTCGCATCACTAAAGCTTTTACCCCTCCTACAGTTCTCAAACGCCTTTTCCTCGAGCACTTTTCTTCTCACTCCCGCTCCGTTTCTGTCTTCACCGATGGGTCTAAGTCAGCGGACGGTGTTGGCTACTCTGTTGTTTTTCCTGATCGCACTTATATGTGTCGCTTGCCTCCGGAGACTAGCATCTTTACAGCGGAACTTTATGCTATTCTCTATGCTCTTCGTCTCCTGCTTTCTCGTTGTCAGTCTTCCTTTGTGGTTGTTGTTGACTCTCGTAGTGCCCTCATGGCTCTCGGGTGCTTTAATCCAGTTCATCCGGTAGTTGTCGAGATCCAGCATTGGCTGTTTCTCGTTCACAGTAAATTTAAGTCGGTTGAGTTTTGTTGGGTTCCCAGCCATATTGGCGTGTCTTTAAATGAGCGTGCGGATGCTGCCGCTAAGGAAGCTGTCCGCTCTTGTCCCATCTCTCGTAAAGGCATTCCGTATTCCGACTTTTACCCGGTTATCCATTCCTCAGTCCTTACCCGTTGGCAGGCTTCTTGGTTGTCTGTTACTGGTAACAAGCTACGTACTCTTAAATGTTGTGTTTCCTCGTGGCCGTCCTCCTTCCACCGTAACCGGCGGTGGGAAACAGCTCTAGCGAGGTTGCGTATTGGCCATACTCGCTTAACCCATGGTCACTTGATGGAGCGCCGCCCTGCTCCTTATTGTCCTAGTTGCATTGTCCCTCTTACGGTCGTGCATGTCCTTCTTGAATGTCCTGACTTCCAGGACGAGCGTGTGTCTTGCTTTCCGACCGCCCCTCGCGGTCACCTGTCCCTCGATAGAATTCTTGGTGACTCGGATACTTTTGATATCGTTCGCCTTATGCGTTTTTGTTCTCGTATTGGCATCCTTGGTGATATTTAGCGCCCTCTGATTATTTTGCGTATTTGATGGTGCTACATAGCCTTCCCGGTTTGGTGCCTTCTTTTGATAATTACTTACTTATTGTACTATTTACCTTTCTGCTATTTATTTTCTCCAAATCATCCAAATATTTCTGGCTTGGTCTCTGCTTAAAAAATAAGTACGTGTACTAAACCTTAAAATGTTGGCCTTTACATTCATGGGATTAAGTACATTGTCAAGCTTGTCTTCTCTTTTAATGTGACACACTCTGCATCTTATAATGTTGTACAGTACTAAACTGAACTAAGCTTTTACTCTGAATTATCAATTAATATAGTTTATGAATACTAGAGCTTTAATGTAAACTTGTTCATTTCCTAAATTGCATAGATGATTGTAATGATAATGACATGACTAAATACATGTTGGACAAAATGTTTAATTGTAATTCCCAGTTGTTGGAGTTGAATTAGAACTTTGTTCTAAGCTCTGGTTATTAACTTCGTAAATAATTGCAAATCTTATTATGTGGCACATCTAAAGCATGTATAATAATCTATGGTTTAGATTTTGGGCTTGGTTAAGACTTCTTGTTTTCTAAATCCACCTTTCTCTTCCCAACAGGGATGGGGAACCCAGGTAATGTTGACGTAGGCTAAACCAAGTGGAATCCTTCTTGTGATGTCACTATGATGGACTTGGGAACCTCTTGAGTAAAGGATCTAAATTATAAGGCTTTCAATTTCTGGCCTTCTGGGAGGACTAATAATACTGTAGCAATCTTGAGAAAATCCACAGTAGCAGTGATGAGGATTCGAACCTGTGTGGGGTATTCTCAGATGCTCACTCTAAGTGACTATGCCACAGCATGGTTTAGAGCGTGCATCGGGGAATACCCAGCGCATAGGTTCAAATCCTCATCACGGGTGTTGTGGATTTTTTCATTGATTATTCACGATGTCTCTGTGAATAGCGATATTGTTGGAAATGCTTATTTTTGCATCCAGAGGGTCGATACTACAGTTAACTACAGTATAAATAAAATTTGTCTCGATAATGTAATTTTTACAGACTTGTATCATGACGTACATGCAAGGCCTGTTTCAAATTTTGAAATATAATTTTTATATGGAGGTGCTATATTTGAAAAGCCTCCAGTTATAGGTTTTTGTGCTTTTAAATACATGTACAGTACTTTATTACTTGTAGAACTTGTTTCTAAAATTATTTATCTTTCTTGCAGAGATGGGGAAACACGGTAACTATTGAGATTGTATACAATTCTTGTGTGAAACTTTAAATTGAATTCATATTGCTATATACACTATTAAGATGTTTACATTAATAGTTTTAGTTGTAGTATTTAAAGCGTAGCCATTCATGAGTGCCTGTATCTAATGAAGTAAGCAACTTTATTGAATCATTACTTAGGTTATGGAGAGCAGAGTAAAATTGCTGATATTAGAGGCTCTTAAATATTAAAACACAATTTAGGGTTTGATTTTAGCTGTGTATTGAATTTTGATTTGTTGAAAGGAAAGTGTGTCCATGTTTTAACTGTTGTTGTTGTGCTAGGGACAGGGACGAAGACTGGGGCTCAGGTGGTGGCAACACCGGAGGAGGAAACACTGAACCCAAGGATTATGATGGCCCAGCTGGCATGGATGTGGATGGTGTTATTGAATCCAGCTGGACTGAGGTAATTACTTAATCAATAATCTTTAATCCTGATTTATTGTTTGAATTTTGTGATTATTATTCAGCAGTGTAGTTAGTGACTTGCATTTAGGTATCTCCATTGCAACTGTTTTGTCATGTTTGAGCTATTTTGTGGTTCCTTCCTGAGGCAAGATCTGGCAGGCCCCAATGTCTTGTTCAGTCAGAACGTACTGTGATTTTTTTTGTTATAAGCTTTGAGACTTGGAGGTGGTTGTTACTGAAGTGGGTTCTGGGCATTCTTAGTCTTCTCAAGCACAGACTGGAGCCTGGCTTGTCTTGTAATTACTTCTAGAAGGGAGTTGGTTGAGGCAGCCTGGAGGCACCCAACACACTACAACCGAGCTGGTCTGGCACTTATGCTACAACTTCTATTTTATTTATTTTTTTTAACACTCCCACTTGGTTTCCAGCAATGTTTCTTATTTGTTGGGAGGAGATTGAAGAGTCATGGCCCTCTAGTGCACCAATCTTGAGGTTATCTTAAGATTTTGGGGCTTTGGGTTCCCACGGCCCGGTCCTAGACAAAGCCTCGTTTTTGTTACACCCCCCTTTCCCAGGAAGCATCCATCCATCCCCTCCCTCCCTCCATCCATCCATCCCCTCCCTCCCTCCATCCATCCATCCCCTCCCTCCCTCCATCCATCCATCCCCTCCCTCCCTCCCTCCCTCCCTCCATCCATCCATCCATCCCCTCCCTCCATCCATCCCCTCCCTCCATCCATCCATCCATCCCCTCCCTCCAGCCTGTAGCAGCTGTCTAACTCTTAGGTACCTATTTACTGCTAGGTGAACAGGGACATCAGGGTGAAAGAAACTGCTAATTTGTTTCCGCCTCCACCGGGCATCGAACCCCGAACCTAAGGACTACGAATCCTGAATGCCTACTGTCTTCTTGTTTAATCTGCAGTCTCCCATTTGGTCGTTCACCTCCTTGTGGAATTTCCCGATTTCAACCCATGATAGAAAGTCTTGCTTTCCTTGTCCTGTTCTTGTATTGGTGTTCTTAGTGGTATTAAGCAACTTGAATGTTCCTCAACATAGTCCTAAATAATCTTCTTGATTAATTCATATTAAATTCTCTTTTATATCTTTATTTCTTCATAGTTTGAAACTCTTTGATACTGTTGTTGGTGGTAAAGTGTCAACCTTTATCTTGTGCATTATTTATTCCATTTCTTGGAATCTTGCTCTTTGCTGTTTAGTTCATTTTTGATCTTGCAGATGAAGGGTCACAATATTGGGGTTATAAAGACCAAACCACACGTTAGAAAGTAAAGAAACTAGTAGAATCCAATTCCAATAGCCTTTTGGGAATTGTTAATGCAAAAGCAAATTGTAGCCAGTCTGGGCTTGAAAATGTATAACATCAGTCTCGTCTCAAAAAATGCAGGCTACAGAACAGTAAATTCTGTACCACTCAGGAAAGAAATGAGTAGGCTTTGGCAAAGTCTAAGAACAATCCATTCATGTATATTTGCCTTCATATTACAAAGGCAAATATGTATGAACTGAGGAGGACCAGAAATAAGTGCATTAGGGCAGGAGGGGAGAGGAGAGGCAGTTTGAAAATGGCCACCTGTGAAACCACAGAGCTTTAGTTACTACAGCCATATGAGAAATACACAGTAAAGACCAAGGGCCAGATTCACAAAAGCACTTACGAACCTGTACATCTTTTCTCAATCTTTGACGGCTTTGTTTCCAATTATTTAAGTTAATAAGCTCTGTAGCACCAGGAGGCTGTTTATAACAATAACAGGTGAATGGGAGGTTTTCATGCTTGTAAACTGTTTAATAAATGTAACCAAAGCCGTCAAAGATTGAGGAAAGATGTACACGTTCGTAAGTGCTTTCGTGAATCTGGCCCCAAGTTTTTAGAAGGGAAAAAATGGAACACCTTCATAGGGTTGGAAACCTGTGAAGGTTTCCTATTATAGAAGATATAGTACTATTTGAAATGATCAGATCACCTGAAAGAATTTGATGCAAATAAAGCAGAACGACAATTTAAGATTAGTCCCCATAGTTGTAGCTGGATAGGGTTCTGGGAGGTCTTCTCGCCAAACCTGGCCCAGGGTCAGGCTTGACTTAAGAGAGCTTGGTCCAACAGGCTGTTGCTTGAAGCGGCTCGTAGGCCCACATATCCACCACAGCCCAGTTGGTCCAGCACTTCTTGAAAACTATCCAGCTTGAAGATGCCCATGTTTATTCTGGCACTATTACTTGTACTTGCTGGGTATAAGGGCTGGGAGGATGTTGAACAACAGTGGCCTTATGAGGTTTATACAGTGCTCTCTGATTGTGCCTATGGCACCTCTGCTCTTCGCTGGTTATGTTCTGCATTTCCTTCCATGTTGTTCACTACAGTATGTTATTTTACTGTGCAAATTTGGGACCTGGCCCTCCAGGTTATTAGAGGCAGCCAGAATACTATATGTAACCCTCGGATTAGGGTCTGTAATGTGGTATTAGTAATTGGGGAAATTTTCTGGTCTGCAAATGTGTTTGGAACCTCTAGGAACATCTGACTTTGTAACACAGCATGGTTTTAGAAAATTAATGCATTATGAAGTTGATAAATTTCTACAAGGTCACAGGTTTGGCAGGAGAGTGAATGGGTGGATTATATCTTCCTCAGTTGCCAAGAAAGACTGACATTGGCCTCACAAAAGGCTGAAATTTAATTTGAAAAGCATGCAAGAGTAATTGGAAGATAGTGGTGGCATGTTAGTATCTGACAAATGGAAACCATGGCTTTAGTCAAGAGGAAGTGGCAAGTGGGGTCCAATAGTGCACGGTTCTCTGAACATAACTTTTAGATTTGTTAATGACCTTACTGATGAGGTAGGATCGGGCATGATGTTTGCAGATGGTGCTGAAGTAATGAGAAGGGCTGAAGGTCACTTTGCAATGTTTCAGGACCTACCTAGACAGACTGCAGGAAAGAAATGACAGATTACTATTAAAGTTTAAGCCTCAAAAAAATATGAAGTGATTGTGAGAAGAGTTCAGAATAATAGGCAGAATGGCTTATGCAAGATTAGCAAATATAAGGTTGACTAGCTAAGAAATATAGCAGAATAATACACAGTACACTGCATATGATAGACCAGTCCTAGAGTATTCTGCTCCAAGATGTTAATTGTGGTAAAGGAATGGGGGAAAAGCCCCGAGATTTGGCAAGCAACAGGTACTGAAGAGTAGAGACTTTAGCTGGGCACAAGTTAAGCAAACTGCAACTAATGACATTGAAAGGGGAGAAAAAGGCTAATGTTGAGCACATTATAAAAGATCCTATTACTAGATAAGCATCTGTTGTGGAAGCCTTGCGTGTGATTGGCAAGTTTGCTATAAAAAAAAGTTGAACATTGAATCCCAGAGCCAACTCGAAGGTAGACTTCAGCTTTTGCCAAGTTTATAAAGGTGGAAAAATCTGCGAATGTTCGCAAGTCTAGCTAAAATTGCATGGGCAGGCATGTGGCAGTGTCGGCTAATTCTCTCCAACACACTGTTGCCTTCATATGTTTTATCATATTAGTGCTATGCCATCCAAAATAGCTTGCGATGGTAGATTTTGAATGCCCAATAATACTAGACGTAAATAACACGTTATGTTAACATTAGAATTTGGTATTATATAATAGTACATAAGAGTATTATGTAGTGAGGAATGGCAGTTGGAATGATGAGGGCCAGAATAAGTTGGCTTGCTAGACAGCTACAGTATTATACAATTGATAAATTCTCCCAGTTAATTGTTTTCCATAAATTTGAGTTTGTTCCTTCGTTTTCTGGCATTTGCAAGCATTAAAGATACAAGAATAATGGGGAAATGGTAGTCGAGGAAATAATTCTCGTGAGAGCCTTGGAAGTATTGCTCTGGTGCTGCCTTTGGTATTTTCTTATTTGAAAGTGTTGCTATTAAGGTTTAAATAGAATGATGCATATAGTGTTATAGTGTTGTAAAATGTCATTGATGTAGGTAACTTGTTAACACTTTCGCCCGGGCATGACGCAGCATTGCGTCATCCGTTTACTGGCGGTAATACCGGGGATGACGCAGCATTGCGTCATCCACTTTAAATAATTGCCAAAAATCAGGTTTTTATCCGATTTTTTTTGGGACTGGTTTTAAAATGTGCGCCGATGTCTTCCCATTTTCTTTGTTGAGCCTCGTGGCCCTCAGGTGGCTTGGCACACGATGTCGGCCCATTGTTTTCGCTCCACTGTTGTGACCAATGTCGCCTCCCCTCACATCTCAAACGTGTGAACATTTCGTCTATTTTCCGTGGCTAAATTTCTTACTGCGGCTTTAGAAACTATCTACGCTTACTCCACGATGGATAGTAATCATGAATACTCCACGATGGATAGTGATCATGAACAAGGCCCTTCCAGGAAGAAAATTGTGAAAGAAAGGCTTGAAAAGGAATGGAATTGGGAGTGTAGCTGGAAGGCGTCTGAGCGCTCACTCGCGGTTAACGCGTGGCCCGTCTTCAACTCGTCGGCGGTTGGAGCGTGACCAGGTTTTTAATTTTATATGCTAATGTTCCTCTAGAGAATTCTATTGCGAACCCATTGAGATCAAAATGAAAGACCTAGGACAAAAATTGAGGTGACCAGAGTGAAAATAGTGAAAACATTTTATCGCGTTTGCGCACTCCTGGGTAACTCATTCGCACTTTCTCTGTTTGCTGCGGGTAATTAGCCGGGCTTTTGGAGTTTATATGCATTTAGTGCTGTAGAGAATTCTATTGCGAACACAATGATACCAAATTTAATCTCGTAGGACGAGAATTAAGGTGACAAAGTTGAAGAGAGTATACACTTTTCAGAATTTACGCGCTCTCCCGTGACACCCTGGGTCCCATATCGCACAGTTGAAGGGTGGCGCGCGGGGTACGTCAAAGTGTTAATATGGGGAGACTGCCTTCCAATTTTTAGTTTGAAATAGTAACTTTAATTAGTATATTTTCAAGATTTAATATTTATTCAGTAACTCCATTTTTGTTTTGTTTTTGCAGGTAGCAACAAGCTTTGATGATATGAATTTAGGAGAATCTCTATTACGAGGTATCTATGCCTATGGTTTTGAAAAACCATCTGCTATCCAGCAGCGTGCCATCTTGCCTTGCATTAAGGGACATGATGCCATTGCCCAGGCTCAGTCTGGTACTGGTAAAACTGCAACATTTTCTATCTCTATCCTTCAAAGAATTGATGTAAAGTCCGACGAGACGCAAGCTCTCATCCTGGCACCTACCAGAGAATTGGCTCAGCAGGTGAGTACTGTGTTTATAGTATTATCAACATAATTCAATATTTGTATATATTATATCCCAAGTCATTAGTAAACTAGAATTGTATGGAAGCCGTTTTCATTGTCTAGTCTTGTTAGTGAAAGTAATTTTCTTGCACTTTGCTTAGTGGGTCAAATTTTAACATACTTTGAGTCTGATTTATTTGTAACAAGTAATTACAAGCATTTTAAAGTGACAGGGGAAGATAATCAGGACACTGCCACTTGCTACAGCTTGGGGTAATTTCCTGATTGAGCAAGACACACAGTTTCAAACTAATACTTAAATGTGTTTTACAGATTCAAAAGGTGGTGCTTGCTCTGGGTGACTACATGAATGTGTCGTGCCATGCCTGTATTGGAGGCACGAACCTTCGTGAAGACATGCGACGTTTAGAGATGGGTGTTCAGATCATCGTGGGAACACCTGGTCGTGTATATGATATGATAAACCGCAGAGTTCTAAGTAAGTGTTATAACTGTGCCACATTATTATTGTATCCCAGTTCTCTTAAATGTTCATATGGAAGTTTGAGGTGTTAATGCAGTTCCACTCAAATTGCATCCACAGTAAAGTGTATCAGTTGCTCACCTTTCACCTCCACTGTTAATCTCCCTCAACTGCAGCATCTTGACGAGCATAGTGTAATATTGACATAGGCAGAGGTCACTCACCATAAGACATTGTTTAGACTTGTTAAACAGTTATAAATACAAATATTTTTTTAAATAGTATTGAGCCAACTAATTATATACTGAATAGTGTTTTAGTTATATAATGGTGGTTTAATCAGTTTGTGCACATATAATTAGGTTCTCTAATAGTGGACAAAGAACAACCAGTCCAGTCATGTTATTTTCCCTAATTGCTATAAAATGTCCTGATCTTCGCTATTTCTCTAGGGAATAAGGTATATTATAATGATTACACTGTGTTCATGAAAGTATGAGCACTATACTATATTTGGGACTATTATTTATGAATGTAAACTTTACTTAGAAGTGTGTTACTGCTGTGGTTGACTGGAGTGGCAGATGTTGTTGTCAGGAAGACAACAAAGAACCACAAATTAGGGGGCAGTTCCTTGGTTATTAAAGGTTTCAAATTATAGTTTTGCACCAGTTTTGACTACTTGTCCATATCTATATTGTTAATAGTTAAACTATACTAGTTTATTTGGCTTAAAATGCTTTTAACACATTCTTCTCTTTCCAGATCCCAAGAACATAAAGATGTTTGTTCTAGATGAGGCTGATGAAATGTTGTCTCGTGGTTTCAAGGATCAGATTTATGATGTCTTCCGCTTCCTTCCTAATGATGTGCAAGTGGTGCTGCTCTCTGCTACCATGCCTGCTGATGTGATGGACGTGACTACCAAGTTCATGAGGGACCCTATCACCATCTTGGTGAAGAAGGAAGAACTTACCCTGGAAGGTAGGATGGGTTTTAGTTTTCAGAAAGTGTCTTGGGTGGTGGTGGTGGTGGTTGTTGTTGTTCGGCATTTTGCTGACCAGTCTTGTCTCCACCTGGCTTGTTGCCAGATCATAGGTGTTAAGATCGTGGGAACACCTGGTTCCAACATGGGTACACTGGAAAGTTGAATTTGTGCTAATTGTTGGGTGGTAGTTATCTTTCTTGTACAAAGCCTATATTACCTTTAACAGTAAATAGTTTAAAGGAGGATCTAATCATATTCATGACACGATGAGTACATACAGGAGGAAGTTCTCACAATTTTCTCAGTGCACCATAAAGATCAATCAAGAGCATCCCTACATATTGTATTATTTTTAATCAAGCTTAACCAAGTTGAATATAATTTTGACATCATATATTGTAAGTTAAAAGGCAGCTAGTATCTTGATGATGAGAAAAAGTCTAATGTACATAAGGAAAGTTATTTTAAAATTAGTAAATAATTACATGAAGTATGTGGGATTTGGATGCTGAATTATGATGAAAATCCATAATACTTGCTGTTCTGTAGTTAATATACGCACTGCAATATTACACAATCCTGCAAATGTCATTTCTTGCGTATTATCTACTGGGGTTGCATTAATTTAAAAAAAATGCCAAATTCAAGTTATGCTGCGTTTTCTGGTGTCTCGCTAATTATTTCCAAGGTTAACTGAAGTGTATTCAAGTTTTTGTTGCGTTCTATCTTCCACTGTTCCTGCCATTTTAATTAAAGGCTTCTCTGATTAATGCTCTTAACACAATTCTAAACTCCCCCTCCCCCCCTCCCCCCCTCCTCCCCTCCTCCCCTCCTCCCCTAAAAAAAAAGTCCTGGAGGAAAATGTGAATGTAACCAGAAATAAGGTGAATCAAAGTGTTCCCAAACTCCAGGCCACAAAAGAGGGGTTGGGTCACTTATCTGTGTAAATCTTAATTCGGGTGTATACCTGCACTAAATAATATTTGATTCATTTCTTTACAGGTATTAAGCAGTTCTATGTGAATGTAGAGAAGGAGGATTGGAAGTTGGAGACTCTCTGTGATCTGTATGAAACTTTAACAATCACCCAGGCTGTGATCTTCTGCAACACCCGTAGGAAGGTCGATTGGCTCACTGACAAAATGCACCAGAGGGACTTCACGGTGTCTGCCATGGTCAGTTTGAATTAAATTTTTCTAAATATCATTTTTATTGACTGGGTCAGGCCTTGTGTGTTAATAGACAGGCTTAGCTGCCCTGTCTATTAACTGGCTGCCCGTCATCTTGAATAGTGCATAGTATTTTAACAAATCCCTAACAGCCAAAATATCATGTCCTTAGCCTGGTCTCCATTAGACAGCAGCTAATGGAGAAAGTCATACTCACCTATGCACAAAATATGAAAAAAGTCCCCAAAATAAGTTTTCATTATAAAATTAATAATTTGTAATGTATGCAAAATGTAAGACAAATACAAACAAGTGAATATAGTTTTGAGTGGGTGAAGGTGCTCTGTAAGGCTGTGTCTGGCACTAATCAATGTCTGGTACTTGACTGCTGATGCTTCCTGTTTTGGCCTCAAATGGTTCACCGGTTGTTTTATCACTTGTCTTCATTTACAACCACAGAGCTATCATACCTGGTTGATGGGGTTCTGGGAGTTCTTCTACTCCCCAAGCCCGGCCCAAGGCCAGGCTTGACTTGTGAGAGTTTGGTCCACCAGGCTGTTGCTTGGAGCGGCCCGCAGGCCCACATACCCACCACAGCCCGGTTGATCCGGCACTCCTTGGAGGAATAAATCTAGTTTCCTCTTGAAGATGTCCACGGTTGTTCCGACAATATTTCTTATGCTTGCTGGGAGGACGTTGAACAACCGCGGACCTCTGATGTTTATACAGTGTTCTCTGATTGTGCCTATGGCACCTCTGCTCTTCACTGGTTCTATTCTGCATTTTCTTCCATATCGTTCACTCCAGTATGTTGTTATTTTGCTGTGTAGATTTGGTACTTGGCCCTCCAGTATCTTCCAGGTGTATATTATATCATGTCCATATTTTCATCATGCATGTAAAACCTAGACAATAATTGTTTACATTGTTGTATGATTACCCTAGTAATATTAATGTCAATAACTGCATTTTTACCATGAAATGGTAGCAGGATTTGTGTATGGGTCAAGGTAAAATCCATTACATCCACCTAGGTGTACTAGGTGAGTATCGACCTATTATATCCATATTTGCACCATACGTGTGAAATCCAGACAGTAATTGTTTAAATCACCTTTTGATAAAACTTCAGGCTCCCTAGGGATCGTCAATAGACTATAACCACAGCCTAAGGGTTAAGTCATAGTGGCTTGAAAAATTGAGTTAAGTTTTGTGTCCTTGGTTAGGTTCAGGCAATTTAGTACATCATTTTTATCATGATAAATACGACAGAACTGGCTGGGCTCAGCCCACCCCCCGCCTCCACCTGGTTGACTTGAAACATCATAGCGCCTTCAACCTTTTTATTCAAGCAGTGTTTTCAAAATTGATTAGTAGGAGATTGAAGAACCATGGACGTTGATGTTTAGCATTCTTAATAAACCCATACTGATGGTTTGGTTTATTGTACTCTTGTATCTTTTATGCCATTGTAATTTTTATCGTGCAGGTGTGGTATGTGGCATTTCCAGGCCTAGACTTATCTAGTCTTCACCATTCCTCACCGTTCTTGTCCTCTTTATTCCTTTGCCTCGACCATCCCTTGCTAGACAAAGGCTACTCGCACCCATTCCCTCCAAATCTGCCCAATTCCATACCTGTGGTCCAATTTTAATATACCCCTGTATTCTCTGCCTCATTTACAAGGGTAAAAAGGGCAGTCTGGTAAATGTTTGGTAAATTGCTGCTTCTGCATGTAACAAATGTTTTGCCTAAAAGTAGTTTCTCAATGTGTTAATTTCGTTACAGCATGGAGATATGGACCAAAAGGAACGAGATGTTATTATGCGTGAATTCCGCTCCGGTTCGTCTCGTGTTCTGATCACTACTGACTTGTTGGCCCGAGGTATTGATGTTCAGCAGGTGTCCCTGGTTATCAACTATGACCTGCCAACCAACAGGGAGAACTACATTCACAGGTAAGGGAGATAACACTATTAAACGTCTTGAATATATGGCTATTTTTCTTAAAAAAAAAAAAAAATCAGTTTTTCTAATTATGAATGCAGTAAGATTTTCTCAACTTTGACTGCAAACTATCGATATGCCTTCTGCAGATTTTTCCATGGCACATCTTTTGTCCCCCTTCAGAATTTATAATTGACTATTTTAGATCTGTGGAATACGCCTTGCCCTTCGTCAATCCACTTCCAGTAACTTGGATCACTTCCTCAATCAGCTTTCACCAAAATGCAAAATTTCAGTGTGGCAGGATTTTGTGTATTTGTAGGATTATTTTCTGCATAAAACAAATTCAAATTACTTATTCAGGATTGGTCGAGGTGGACGTTTTGGCCGAAAGGGTGTAGCTATTAACTTTGTGACTGCTGACGACACCAGAATTCTCCAGGACATTGAAGAGCACTACCGTACCTCAATTGAAGAGATGCCCATGAATGTGGCCGATTTGATTTAATCTAGGTGAGATATAGCGACAATAAGGCCTCGGTTGTTGTTGCTCTGCCCCCGCGCTGTCTTATTCGCCAATTGATTGTGCACGCTGCCTGCCCCATTTGAGAGCTGGCATCGTGATCTACTTGAGAGCTTGGACGCACTTGATCTGAATCGTGAGCAGTGTCTGAGCAGTGTTTCCTGGAAATCAATAGCCCCGCCAATTGAGCTCGTGGTTCCAGGTGGTAACCATATATTGCCTGTTTATTGTTAATATTCAGGTTCTGTATTTTCCATGGTTTCCAGCAGTAGTTAGTTTTAGGTATAAGAGATATAAAGGGCTTTAGCCCTGTTTTAATTTTTTGGAGATATATATATATACATTGTGAAAAAAACAACTTGAGGGTTTAGACAGAACCGCTCTTAGAAAGCGGCATTAGCCTGTCCACCCTCCCCTCTTCCTGTCTTTTTCTTTTTTCTGATCCTTCCCTTTATTACGTTGTAGCACATAACCTGTTGATGTCACCCTTTATATTCTACAAGTTTTACTTGTTTCTGCAACTTATGATGTCAAGTATGGGGAATAAATGCAATTTTAGTTGCACTTGCAGTAAAAGAGCAGATACCCAGATTCAGTTTTTCAATTATACAATCATTGTATCTGCTATAGCTTTCGTTTGTTTAAGGAAGATAGTATTAGGTGTATGGCACGGATATTATATCCAAAAGAGGCGACGTCGGAAATCTCTGTTAAAATGTATGCGACCTCTTGGTGTATTTATTAATAAAACTTGTAAACACCACACTGGAATCCTTTTATTAGTTCATCTAGTCCCTTTTTGGGGATAAATATTGTTGCTTCACGGGGGGGAGAAGTTGGTGGCTAGATTTAATCATATTTTTGTATTTGCAGGTCACGACAGCTGTGATTCACGGTCAATAAAGCACCAAGTCACCATACTTGTGTAATTACCTGTTACCTTTTAGTATCCCTTGTCTGGAAGGATTTTGGTGCTGCTAGGGTTTTATATTCAATGTGATGTGGGTAAACTGCTGGAATTCCAGACAGTAAATTCTGCAAATTTCCTCCCGGGATATAAACAAAAATGGGTAATTCTGTATTGGCATTGACATTAATAATCGGTTAAAAGTAAGGCTAATAAAGGCCTTGCATTGTCAGAAATAGCTTTAAGAACATTGGAGGATGAACGTTTCCATGCATAAATGTTAACATTTTCGTAAAATTTCTATGGAGTTCAGCTACTTAAAAAAAAAAAAAATTATGCAAGATGAACTAATTTGTACATAGCATATTAGAAACTTTGTCCAATATATATATCTCCCCAGAGACTTCCTGCCACCGGAGCAGAAAAGGGGGGGGGGGGCATATTGGCCCCACATGTAGACTTGGTGGGGAAAGACCTTCTGCCAAGTCACAACTGAAATTGTCTAGTTTTGACAAGATTTCTCAAATGTTACTGATAAGTAGCATGTAACTCAATAAATTGAGATTGCTTAACTAGTGTCCTTTTGATGCCTGAACATTTTTTTTTTTGGGGGGGCCAAATAATCGTAAAAGCTTGGTGCTCACTTTCAAATGGAAGATTTAGATTAGAAGATTGCTGTAGATGCAGAAATTGAAAAGTATACGAGTTACTAAGAGCGTAGCTATACTTTCATGGAAATAAACTTGTCAAATTATGGCTCGTGATACTTAACAAGTGAGATGAGTTCCTGTCTTGGTTCGACTGTTGCTAGTGACCCATGACCGTTTTTAATACATTGTGAATATGCAAGCGTAGATGTATGTGAAACTAAAACCCTGTTTTATCACGTAACGAATGGGGCACCGTTGTCTCTCCTGGTGTGTGTCCTTCCTCCATGCCCTTTTCTCAATTTTCCCTACCTATCTTTCATGTTCCTCAAATTCCCGCTCCCACACCTCCCCCTTCCTCTCTCCTCTCTCCCTTCCCCTCCCCTTCTCCCCCCCTTTCCCCCTCTCTCCCCCTCTCCCCCTCCTCCACCCCTTCCCCCCACTCTATCTCCCTCCCCATTTGTTTACATGTTTGCATTCAATATCCACCGGTCAATGTGAGTGCACACCTTCATCTTCTGTCCTATTTTAAATTCTTAGTCTCATATTCCTTCCAAAAGCTATATAGCTGTAATAACTTAAGGCGTTCTCCTCATAATTACCTGAATTTATCCCCCATCAGAAAATGTAATACTATTAAGCACTGAAAAACTGCTAAAACCTTGCAAAACTTTAAGCTCCTCTAAATTTCTGAGTGCATTAAAGATTGAATGGGAGAGGGGAGGGGGTTCCGATATTTCTTATGGTTGGAACTGGAGGCAAACTCCAACTGTACTAAATAGTCATATTTCCTTTCCATTCCCTCCATGTGTCATTCAGGTCTGATAAGAATGTAATTGAACTAGAGACCTGGAAGCTTGCCATTACTTTGCACAGACATTCTATTTTATTGATTTAGATTATCTACTAGACCATTCGGGCCCCCAGAAGAGTTGTTAAACGTCCTCGTCCATTTACCAAGCCTAGTTTAGCCTCAGCATTCACTGCATCTTATGCGCTTGTATTGGCATTTTGAATGTAATCTTTGAAATCGTTAATGTTCAATCTCAATTATACTATAATTGCAAAACTGGCCCCAACATTTTTTTTGTGAAATTACTTTAATTTTACCCACTTATAAACCCCGAACCAACGCAGAGAAGTAAACAGCATTCGCTGAAATCTTGCAACACTAACATAATTATACATCATCTCGTTGTAGTATACTTCAGTGAGTTGTTGCAAGAGCAGTGAGAGGGATATCAACATTTCTGATATCATTATGGATTGAAAGGGTGATTGTACCTTAGAAAGGTCAAAGTGGTTAATGAATAAGTAGTAGTTCAATGATTAATTCATGCATGCTGAGAAAAATACTAAGGTTGATACAAATAAGAATATTAATATATAGAACTACAGTGACGTGTGGGATGTATAACAAAATATTAGATTAAGAATTCTGAGAAAATATGTACTTGTACAAACAAATTTGAGACTAAAGTAGTGGCTGAACAATACAGTAAACAAACTAGCGTCACTAAAAGCAACTACCAGTACAATAATACAAAAAAAAAGTAGAAATTATCTGCGATTCAAAGTCTGCACTTGAAGTTCTTCAAAATGTCAACTGCATCATAAACAGCAATACCATAATAGCAACTGCAAATACAGGTAACCTACTCGCTGCGCAAAAATCATGCCCGAGGAAGCTGAAATGTTTGGGTAAGTTGTAGATACTGATGAAGTAACTACAGGGTTATACTGAGAATGGAGAGATTGTAAAAAGTTATCTAATAATGGAAATATTCTAGAGGATTGAATAAATAACTGATTTTTACCACTATAAAATTAAACAGGAACGTAGCGAGTACAATAATTCTAAACTAATTGTTTTAAGAATAGCAGGCATTGTCCATGACAGGATTGATCACTGATCAACAAAGTGTTTTTCCTGGCAGAAGAACCGGGTGTGTAGGCCAGCGTTGACGGCTTATACAGGAGGCTAGCAAGGGCTTGCAGCGATCGAGTACATGGCATTTATGGATTTGAAAAAGAAAAAAAAGACATTCCATATAAAAAGGAATGAAGTTCGAGTTGGTTGTGTTGTTAAATGTTGTGAAAAGTTATAGTAGGCATCCTTCAGTCTCGGGAGACTATGGAGTTGCGCCCTAGTTGTCAATTCTGGTGCAGCGTCTGGTGTGACTGATGAGGCCAATACATGTAGGTAAACAGTATTAGCTAAGACTAGTAAAATTAACACGTGACTAGTTCAATCGTGATGTAGGTTATTATTAATTACTCAAGTCATTAGTATTAAACTATAGTCATCTGGTACAAATGGGTCTTACATATACTGGTACTATATATAAACATTTTCATAACATTTAACAACACTACTGATTCCATATACATCCTCATTACTCTCACGTTCAATTGTATTAACTCACGTGATGTCATGAGAGAGGTCAAGGCGAGAATGGAGAGGTGCAAGCTAAGTACATAGCTCTAATATTGGTAATTGAATACACAAAGAAATTACATGAAGATAAGGTATCAACAAGGAAATCATCAAGAGTTATGAGGCAACTCGTCCTTACACTAGGCTGGTTAAAGCAGCGGCCATCCTCTCCAGACGCATTCATCAATTTTAACATACTGTATATTAAAAATTGGTTTGTTCTCATATATAGATTAATATTATACATTACATTTCTATGAATAGTTAGGCGTAGGTTTGGTTATGTGTTTAGGTTCTGTTGGTGATTATTTGTATTTGAAATACGTGGGTGAAGCATTTATAGAATTGTTGTATGAACAGAGCACGTGAACGAAGCACTTGTTCCGGAAGAGTTCAGACATCAGCTGTGAGTCTTGTGTAAATCGCTTTTCATTCATTCATTAACAGGGTTTGGTGGCTGGATTAACGAGCTTGGATCTTTGTATGCGAGGACGGGCTGTATGAGGAGGATGTAAACCTCAAGGAGTGCCCAGGGAGCATAGGTTCGAATCCTCATGGCTCGCTGATTTTCTCAGTAATTGGATAGTTACAGACTTAGTCATTTTGTTTCGATAGCAATTTGGTGTTTTTTTTTAGCTTGATGTAATATTTAATAAAAAATTCAATATATATATATTCCCTCGCATATATGTTAAAATTCGAGGGAATTATGAATTTGAGGAAGGAACGACGCAATGAGCGCCTTGCGACGACAGCGCCGCCGCCAGTGTGTGCCGGACACTTGAGGACCACCGTCCCGCCCTCGCCTTGGCGCTCGAGACGAGTTTTCTGTGTTTTTCGGGTGTTCTTGTGCTAAGTGTTGACATTCCGGGTGTTCTTGTGCTAAGTGCTGACTTTCCGGGTGCTCGCCGAGCTTCCAGCGAGACAGGACACTTACGGACAGGCGAGTGACCACGACACACCTGTCCCGGAACACAAGTGTTAATGGCGGGAATACAACTTTGCTATTTACACCTCAAAGATCCAAGTGACGGACTACGTCGGCCACCGTCGGTGCCCCTCCTCCCCCTGTCATCATCACTTCTCATAGCCACTCATGGACGTATAGTGAGGAAGATGGTGAGGACCCAGCCATCACCATCACAGGTAAGGCTGTCACAATCACTCACAGGAGACCACATCCTTCATTATATCTTCGTGTGGGCTCAAACCACTCTGCTAAGAGGTTACGAGGTCCCCAGGTGGAGTACCTGGTGGTCCCCCAGGTGGGGTACCTGGTGGTCCCCCAGGTGGGGTACCTGGTGGTCCCCCAGGTGGAGTACCTGGTGGTCCCCCAGGTGGGGTACCTGGTGGTCCCCCAGGTGGGGTACCTGGTGGTCCCCCAGGTGGGGTACCTGGTGGTCTCCAGGTGGGGTACCTGGTGGTCCCCAGGTGGAGTACCCGGTGGTCCCCCAGGTGGAGTACCTGGCGGTCCCCAGATGGAGTACCTGGTGATCCCTCAGGTGGGGTACCTGGTGGTCCCCAGGTGGGGTACCTGGTGGTCCCCAGGTGGAGTACCCGGTGGTCCCCAGGTGGAGTACCCGGTGGTCCCCAGGTGGAGTACCCGGTGGTCCCCCAGGTGGAGTACCCGGTGGTTCCCCAGGTGGAGTACCTGGCGGTCCCCAGGTGGAGTACCTGGTGGTCCCTCAGGTGGGGTACCTGGTGGTCCCCAGGTGGGGTACCTGGTGGTCCCCAGGTGGGGTACCTGGTGGTCCCCCAGGTGGAGTACCTGGTGGTCCCCAGGTGGAGTGCCCGGTGGTCCCCCAGGTGGAGTACCCGGTGGTCCCCCAGGTGGAGTACCCGGTGGTCCCCCAGGTGGAGTACCTGGTGGTCCCCAGGTGGAGTACCTGGTGGTCCCCCAGGTGGAGTACCCGGTGGTCCCCAGGTGGAGTACCTGGTGGT